ACAATATGCTTTATAATGGCGATGTTTCTTTTGGTGATACGGTAAATTGCAATAAAACCCCGCCATCTCTTGGACTATCAACCTTCTGGTTACAAGTTGGATAGCTTCCTCACATTAATAAATGTAAAATCCCCGGAAGGCTTTGAACCTTAAGTTAAATTAAAATAATACTTTTTGTCACTGAGAAACATTATTAAGATTCATAGCAAACAAACTTTATGTTTGAGTAAAATATTATCACAGTGATGAGACCTGTATGCCTCTAGATGAGCCAAAAATATTTCAAGAAGATCAAACTTGTGAAAAATGTACATGCACACGCTTTTTAAGATACATGTAGTAGAAAGTTCAACATTCAAGTAATAATTTACATTATACATTTTTGTATATGATTAATGACACATTTTTATGTATTTATCACAATTTTTCTGTGTGACTAAAACCGTAAGAGCTATTTTAGCCTTTTTTGACCTTATTTCGGTAACTGATGTGGATTGTCTGTGTAATTTGCAATTTGTAAATTACTTTCTTTGTTGACTTCACAATCTATTTAACTTTTAAATATATTTTCAAAATTTTCATAAAAATGAAAATTAGCATGAATTTGGAGACATGCTGCTTTAATCAATTAAGTTCTTAATCAATTTTACTCGAGTTCAAATCTTCCATGTTTTTAAAAGTACATTGTAGGACTGATGTTAACTCTTGTTTGCCTTCAAGTCTTGTTTGCCTTCAAGCTGATTTGGAATTTAACAAAAATCATTAACATCCTTTATTTTTGTCCTGGCGGTACCCATATTTTTTATGTTGGCACCAGTAAAATTCCCACAAGGACAATTTTATTGATTTACTCAGATAAAGGTATTACTAGATAGTAATCAAAAGTGAAAACATTTTTATACATGTCATCAACTTTCAAGTCTGCAAAATTTACAGATAGAACGACAAACCTAAATTGTAAAGTATGAACTGACTCATAGAGCTGGTTGCAGTACCAATGCTTTCTTATATAAAACATCCTACCCACCTCACTAGACATATACATCCCCTGGAAACTAAACTGTGGTTTGAGTTCAAAGCGTACAGGCTTTTTTTTTTAACAATATCAACATGTTAAGGTAGAACGCAACACTTTGCAAACTTTCAAGTAGCGTCTTGAAAATTGGCATGCAAAATGTTGACCATATTTCTGATTAGGTTCCGTTGATTTTATTTCAATAGTTTCAGCCAATTTTTGTACACACGGCGTCAAAGTTGACCATCAAAGCCCGTTTTTGAACATGACGTCATTGCGTATCCTTGGCAACTGTTATGAGTATTTTAACACCATTGGCGGACAAAATATCTTAAATTCTACAGCATTCGGCGGAAATTATTTTTTTCTTTAAGCTGATATAAAAATTATTGTTTTACACCGAAAAATGTTTGAAAAATGGAAAGAAAATTGTCAATTTTGTGTTAAATTTGACGTTCAGTTTAGCCGCAATTTTCGGCTTTAAAGCGGCTTATTTATCTGAAGATATTTTGTCCGCCAATGGCGCTGAAATACCCATAACAGTTGCCAAGGATACGCAATGACGTCATGTTCAAAAACTGGCTTTGATGATCAATCAGAAATATGGTCAACATTTTGCATGCCAATTTTCAAGACGCTACTAGAAAGTTCGCAAAGTGTTGCGTTCTACCTTAAATACATTCCCCTAGAAGCTTAAGTTTCAGTGCACTTACATTCATATACATGTAGCTCAAGCCATGAAATCCCAAGGGTCATTTTGACCAGTACTGACCAGATTTACCAACTACAAGGCCAAATCCCCATGATTTTAACAAAATTTGACCCTTCAGTTAAAATCCAGAGGGTCAAATCATGTCTTTTGGAAAAATGAAGGGTCAAAGAGTCATTTCAAGGGTCAAACGGACACCCTATGACATTACATTAATTAATCTTATATTCAATAGATATCATTGGCATGCTTTGACAGTAAGCATAGACTTGCCCCCTGCAGCACTTCACGGTACCGCTTTCAATGAAATGGACCAAATCAAGTAGTGTTTGCTGCAGTTGCTGCAGTGTGACATAATTTACCATTGGAACAGATTTGGATAAATGTAATATGATTAAGGCAAAGCCTCAAAGCAAGCTCTTTGACAGAAATTATAGAACATTTTAATCTAAACCCATTGGCGGTAGGGCTGTCATTGATAGAAATTTTTGTATTGATATTTCAAAGGGTAAATATCGACGATACATCGATATATCAAAACAAATTTTAGATATATGCAAACATACTGGAATAAATGACTCAAAATGTATCTTTATGTTTGTTATCATGGTTTAAATAAAATATACAACAAAACCAGATGAAACTATGTTCTCTTTTTATTTATAATCCCGAAAACAAATTAACAACTAAGAAATATATTATATATCTCATGGGAACTGAACTCACCACAGACACGGACCAATGCTTTCTGTCAATATGTGACCTTATATTTGTGATATTGCCTCTGTATGGCATAATTAGATGAACTTTACAAACTACTTTCGACTCCAAATTTTCCCCATACATCGCTCTTCTTTTTATTTTAACCTTTTGAAACAAACTCAGCAATTTCTGGGCATAGCCACCATGATGTTGGGCAAATTATAAAGCCAGCTAATAATAAATTATTATCATTGTCATCTAAAGATTAAAGCACACTAAATTTCGGAAAAAATACATACTGCACTACAAATCGAGCGTTTATTGCAGAATTTTCAATTTCTACATTTCGTAATTTTTGACATGATGTCATTAGATTGACACATGCGCTAACAATGTAAACATTAATGGCTGCTGTTTTGCTTTAGGTTGGAGATTAAAGTTTCAATTGCAAATGACAAACTTGTAAGTATTTTAATTTGAAATGTTCATATATTTTATTCATCGCTATTTGGCATTTTATTTGAATGATTCAATCGATATTCAAAATTTTGCATCATATCGAATTGACCCTTAAGAATTGATGATACATTTATATCGCGATTTCCGATGGCAGCCCTAATCGACGGCAACACATTTTATGTTTTCAATGCACTTTGAATTGCATACATGATACATTTGGCCGAACAATGCACTCAACACAACCACATATACAGCCATCTCAGCAATTCATGTTTTATATGATTTCCGTTTTAAAAGTGTCATTCGGTATTTTATACACTGCTTCTGTTTATTCTGGATCCCTCAGGGTTCGAATTTAGACACGCAAACACGTTAATTGCTTGTAGAAATTCTGAATAGCGAGTAACAATAAAAGTCACTGGCATATATTAGCGAATGAATAAAAAACGGACCTAAATATATAAAAGTCTTCTTTTCAATAAATGTTTGTGTAAAATTTGAAACAAAACTTAAAATGCCGCAAAATAAAAATAGTTTCACGCATTTTCGCTGTAAATACAATTGCAGAAATCCGATTTTTTGGGGGTTGCCCAGTTTTTTTTTGCATTTGCGTGAAAAAAAGACGTCAATCGGTAACCGCGACTACGATTGGTAGATAATTTTGTAACCATCTCTGATTGGTCTTTATAAATAAACATGTACTGGATAATCCGATTCCCGTTATGCTTGACTTTACCACATGAAATAAACAAGGTCAAAATGTCTCAAAAGTCTATAATGAATTTTCTAATGACGAAACGGCCGGCGGACAAATCTGATTCTATTGCATCTAAAATATCAACCGTGACTCAAATGGCCTGCAATACATGTAAAATGTTTGCACCTGCAGACAGTGTATCTAAGGTATTTATATTTACTCAGTATTTATATTTACTGTCTGTTTATTAACCAGAATGGAAAGATCATATGTAGTTATAAATATGGTCTTGCCCCTTTCTGTCCATTCTGTTTGTCTTGTAATGTCCAATCTTTTATATGGTATTGGGAGTGGGTTGGGAGGGGGGGGGTGCAATAAAAACTGCCTAGGCTAGGGAGGGGTATCGCCAATTTTTTTAGGTTGTAGAAACTGCCTAGGTTAGAGGGGTAAGACCATATTTATTAAAGAAGGCTATCACCAGCATTTTATTTACATTCTATTTCAACATTACATGATCCGAGGCATTTTTCTCTCATAATGAGGTCAGTTTTTTTCAGAAGCTTATGACTGTTTTCATTTAATAACGACCACCTTATCCAATGCCTCATGTGAACCTGCATTATCAGCTATGAAACGCATCAAAACTGACTGGAGATGAAACCTTGGTGTGGATATGATGGACACCCTAATGAGAATTTCTGTTGCCAACATCAGGTTCAAAGACTTTGATCCTAGAACAGCAGTCAGGAGATGGTGGCTCAATGGTCAGAGAAAGAAGAGGCCAACTACCACTCCATATGGCCCAAGAACTTGATATGATTTGTACATCATATGTTAATAAATTTGCGTTGTCAATTTCAGCTAGTCACTTTTCATTTTAGCTGGTAAGCATAAAATGCACAAGCTAATTTTAGCTAGTAGTAAATATTGCTAAATTCGAACCCTTTCCCTGTCCTATTATGGTTCCCATAGAAGTGCACACCAGTCTACGCATCCGTTTTCAATCAAAATTCCTCGACTTTTATCCTTATCTTGTAATTGGAAAAGTTGCCATTAATCAATTACCCATAATTTTCTAGTAATTCCTGCAAAAGTTTTTAAAACCATAACTATCTAGCAGGTACGCGCGTTACCTTAAAGCTCAATATATGCGAGCAGGCCCTTTGGGCCAGCGCTACCTCCCTATTACTATTTTTCTACTGCACATTTTTTTTAAATTTTTGGCATTGACAAACACCTGCACAATATGGTGTGATCCAGTATCTATAGATAAATTTTTGGATAAATTAGCATTCTGATTTTAGCAGATTTTCAACTTTAGACTTTACAATAAATGACTCTAACCAAAATTCCTTATCAATATTTTTTTTCATGACGACCAAATTAATGTCAGCATGTTAAAAGAGAATTAAACATACCTTTCTGACAAATCAATATCAAATGCCTTTTGTAGTTCAAGGCGCACTTTTTTTGCAGAAAGTGTGGAGAGATCAGCATCTTTCAAAATTTCTACAAATAGAAATAAAAAAATAACAAAAATTATGTTATACATTGAATGAAGAATTTTATTTTAACAGAATACAAATTAAACTAGCTCAGAACATGCTTTGACTAAACAAAGGCACCTTTTATTTTTCTCCGCAACTTCTCGCCACTGATGTCCGCCATGTTGAAATATTGTTGTATAATTCTCGTCATGTATCGTAATGTACCGTACGTAACATTTTTGGGTCAAACGCCGCTATAAAATATTCGTTGGTCAAACAAATTCAGGCCACGTCTCCTCAAAAAGTAGCGTCACTGTAATAAAAAATAAAATTGTAATTGAGATATGATAAAGGGTTCAACATACAATGTGAATCACCGGTAGCAAGACACTTCACCCCTCAGACACAAATCACCTACCCACAAGTTAGACATCGACATCTGCATACTTTCTAAATTAAATAAAACCTCAACACAGAAGCAGCAAAATCAATTTGCCGTATTACTCTGGTTGTCCCACAGCCTTTACAGACAAGTATGATTATGGAAAAATTTTACATTTTGCCTCTTTATAATTGTTAATTGAATTATTTTGTAAAAATGTCTATAGGTCTATGACTTCAGATTATATTAGTGTAGGTTCAATACTGAATTTCTTGAATGAGTGGAATATAATTTTTTAAGCTAACTTATAGCTGATTCTTAAACAAAAATGACGTCACATCGAATGATTACTGGGACATGCAATAATTTTGAAAAGCGGAGAGGGATATTTAATTTGATAAGTAATAGAAAAAGCATCGAAACACGAGACTATCTGATTTGTTTCTTTTGTATCATAGGCAAAATTAAATACACGTTCCCCGTTGTAACAATATGAAACCCCAGAAAAAAATACCAATGAACCAGCTTCTGAATCAGGGTCTTTCAAATAGAAATTTCAAAGACCCTGTCTGAATGTGGCATTTCTATCGTTATTCCTTTCTCTGTCGTCACAAAAAGTAAAACCCAGAAAAAATGAATCAATCAATGGGCATGTTCTGGAGTGCAGGTAACTAATACCTGCACTCCAGTTAACGCACTGTGCATGTATGTGTATACGATTTAACTCTGACGCGTTTTCAACAGAAAGGTCCTCAAACTATGATACATTTAAGGTTAATGTTAACTGTGGTAGGCTTTATCGACTTTAAATAAAGCATAAAATTCATGTCAAATGATTTCTGAAAATTGTGATAAGACATATCATTATCTTTTTCAAATACATGTAGACCGTATTGTTTAAGAACAATGGTGAAAGAAGTTCATAGTGTTGTGAAGAACGCTCAGTGAAAGTTACTCATGTTACTGACTATGAGAAGTATGAAGTAAAACGTTGATGGTTCTGTAAGTAGTGCTTAATAATAAGAAATGTGCCGTAAACTCATAGAAATAGAGGATATTGAATGAGTGTAAATTCAGTACTGAATTTATTGAAATAGTTGAATAAATTATATTATGCGAGCCTCTGGCGAGCATAATATTATTTTATTTAACAAGTTCAATAAATTCAGTATTCAAATTACACGAATATAATATTTCTATTTATCACATATCTAAAATAAAAAGTGTTCAAAGTGAAAAAGTATCATTTTTCAATGACACGCCAAATGTGTAACGCTAACATTTACCGTGTCTTTACACTATGTTTGTATAACGCAAATTACGTCACGTCAAAATATATGCACGTTTTTACGGAGTCGCAAAATCGGCACGGTTATGTGATAAACAACTATATGGGCCTATGGCATCTTATAATTGTCCGGTACAAACATGGCGTCATGACCAGCTTTTGAAGTGAAGAAAATGTCCATAATGCCGTTAGAAGTATCATGTTTAAAGTTTCATTAGATGCCACAATGAATACTCTGCAAACACCGTTCAGTGAGTAGTACTCGTCGTTGCTTGAAACATGCTCAGCTGAATAAGTTCATAGTGCAATAAAAAGTAATCAATAAAATATTACTTCATTTTGATATTCTTATTGCAATTTATATAAGTGAGTTTGCAATTTAAGTTATGATAATGATACTTAAAGAAGTCACTGTTAACATTAAGTAATGTCATAAATGTCGTAAGTTAATTGAGAGCACTGGGTGTAAAAGTTCTTGTTGTCAATGGATAAAGGACCATAGTTTTTTTGCTCAAGGAGAAGTGTCCCTATAATGCTACAATTGAACCATATTTTTCTATCTCATGAGAAATGCTGAATGAAATACCACGGTATCGGTGACAAACATCAAAGTGTCATGTGCAGTATTCAGGGAAATTTAAGGAATTCACGGTGTTATGAGAGGTGTTCCACATAGCGCCGCGAAGACTGCTCAATAAACATATCTCGTACAATGTATGATGCTGTGTCAGCGATAGAAAAAATTAATTGCGTATCTAACAGAAATGAAATATTTTATTCTAATTGGCTTTATAAAATATTGTGTCTTAGCAACCGAATGATTCGATTTGGTTCATCTCAAAATGTATTCAGAAAATAGATACTAACCTTGAGTGCATTAATTATTTTAGAGGCTGCTCGTCGTGATAATATGGCCTGCAGATGTCCATAAAATTTGGCCAGATGTACAAAATGTATTATACAAGAATTTATGCTGATGTTTTGATACGGATTAATTTAACTGATGGCGGATTTTGCCGAACAATTCTATACCGAAGTATACATTGTAGATTGTTTTGTTGAGGTGAATCGTTCTATAATGGAAGGTCTGTAATACAATAGATAATCACGTAGATAGTATTTAGTTCCAGATATAACAACAACCATGAAAGAATTATATATTGATGTTGTTGGCATATGTTATTGTAAGACATATAAAACAGAGAACATAAGAATCCATAAAGAAATTCAAAAGCGTCAAAATTGAAAATGTTGCAGGCTCGGTTCGATTGAGCCTGTTCATGGACAGTACTGTCAAGTGAAACTACCGTTCAGAACCCCTAGCACTGGCTTAAGCAGAATTCAACATTCAAACATGTAGTAGTGAAATATTAAATTTCGAAACATTCGCAGATGTATTCATACGGCGGTTAATCCGATATTATATAATATATTTATACAGCATATAATAAAATGTTCTAGAACAAAATGTTATTATTCATCATATAAACATCCATACTAAAGCACTTAAAAATATATAATTTTCAGGCACTAATATATAAGATTATCCAAATAATACATTTCCATAGTTTATATCAATATTTGAAATACTTATGAAAAATGTGTCCATTGTTGACTAATCCATAAAGGTCATATGGCGACTATAAAGCTTTGCTAGTTGAGGAGGACCTTTCGGTGCCACTTGGTGCATCTTTGACCATCGACCTCCAGTAAGCGGAAGCATAATGATAAAGGGTCGAACAGATGCTATGTACAAATGTATCAGCAACATGTATAATGTATATAAGAGCGGAACTGAAACATATATATATATATATATATATATATATATATATATATATATATATATATATATATATATATATATATATATATATATATATATATATATATATGTAGTCCTGATGACAGAAATATGGGATACGTCTGCTCTGTGTATTTAACATGACGTGACGCGTGCAATAAACAACGATATATACATTAATTTGTTAATTCTACAAATATTTGCATTTTATGTAATTAAAGTAGTTTTCCGGTAGCACTTACACAGTTAGTTTACACAGTTAGTTCACCGTAGGGAACGTGTTACAGTATCGCGTTTTTCGGTTACAGTATAGAATTTTCAAGATGGAGGATTATTTATGGGAAGAGAGGTAGGTGATTTTTATTCAGGTCCATACTATACTAGTAGTTTAGTTTCTAAAAGATGTTTTTGTGCTTTGCTTGTAAGAAACAGAATCCGGTATCTAGTCATATATTTCTTCAGACCCTGCACCGCAGATTTATCTCTATATTGTCTCATAAATGTGCAGATTTGACGGTTTGAAAATTTGAATCGAGAGACCAACGCATTTTTCTGCAATTTCGACATTATTTATGCATGCCTAGAAAAAGTAAATCGACAAAACGTTAGTCCTTTATATTTAGAAACGTTTATAAAAGTAAATGACCAGTTGAACCTATTTTCCTGTTCGTTAAATGCGTTTGAAAAAATAAACAATGTTACAGTATAGAGCGAGGTTAATTTTGAAGGGTTACAGCATAGACCTAGCGACATTCATCCAATTTTGTAACAGTTTATACCCAGATTTCTGTTACAGTTTAGATACTTGCCAAATTTCAAACAAAGTTCGTGTATCCATTATTTTTATGAAATAACTCATACCTTTCTATTTAATATATTCTTAAAAGGTTGTATTACTTTTTTTCTTTAGCAGAAAAGTTATAGTTTGTTATTTTCTTACTTTAAGTTTCAGATTGAGACTTTTTGCAGAATAAGTAATGTCCTAAGTAAGGACTGTTTTCACGACAACAACAGTAACTTTTATCGAATTGTATTGAGAGAAGAAAGATTATTGCTTGATATCATTACACATTATAATAATGCCTATTAGTAATAAAATAGAGAAAAAATAATCCTTAACAGAAGTCCCACACGGAAAACATGAAAATGTTGCAGGCTCAGTTTGATTAAACCTGTTCATGGACGGTAGTGGTAACTGCAAGCTACCGTCCACGCCTCTAAGCACCGGCTTCAGCAGAATTCACATTAAACATTAACTGGTACTCTTTAGATTTTTTAACATTTGTGGATGTGTTCATATGGCGGTTATCGTAGAACCTTCAATGTGACACGTTATTGCCATTCTGTGAAAAGCGGCATATTCCCCCAGGTTAAAAAGTGTGTGTGCCCTAAACGAGAATACAACGAGAGTGAAACTAATCAAAATGAAATTTTGAGAGGGGATCGGAGGTCATGAAGCCTGCATACCATAGATAATCTGTCAACAGGCAGGCACTACCCTAAGAATGATTAAACAGTATTTACACTTAACAAATCTTATAACTGTGCACGTATAAAAATCAAATTTTCTCAGATACTAATAAACATAGGTCTCTGATATTTTAGCCAAATATAGTACAGATATGTGTAATGATGGGTATCGATTTTTATGTCAGGGCGATTTGTATTTACTGAGAAATCGCGATGTGTGCAAGATTGCGTGAAACCGAAATTCACATTTCTGTAAAATGCGTGTTTATAATGGGTGCAAAAAGGTCTAAATATCTTGATTTCACTAAAATACAAACATAAAACATAGGATCATCGATAGGGTATAATACTACAATGAATACCAGGGCATTATGTTACTGTGATTTTAATATTTGCTTTATTGAATTTCAGTAAAGACTGGTTTATGTCGATCTCCGTAACGCGTTGTACCCAGTTACTAAAAGCAATGCAAACACGATATTTTCATTAATATGAAAGTACCATGAAAGTTTGTTTTTAATTTTAAAGTAAAATCTTAGTCAATATGTTTATTTGAGAAAATATTATGCAAATTTATTTTCAAAATGGGCGCCCGAAATGCAAATTCCCTTGCGTAAAACTTCTAGACGGCCATTTTTCTTTCAATTGCAAAAATTCTGCAATAAATTTATGTTTTTTGGATGTCTTTATTTTAATAGAATCCTTGATGGTCAATAATAACTTCATTCAGCGCCAACCTGTCATCCTCATGTGCACTTTGTTGTTTATGTACATGTCACGGATGAACGCACACAACAAAAATAACCGTTATTTCTGAATATAGCATTGTAAAAATAAACCATTCAAACGATGAATTCCAAAATTTTGGTAAAAAATGTAAAGTAATAAAAAAGTTATTCACATTTAAAAACTGCACAGTTATAAGTTTTGTTAAGTGTAAGTGAGCAATACTGCAACCTTAAATTTTATTTTAAGTTGGAATTTTCATCTACCATAATGTATTTTGTGAGTATTTAAAAGGGTTAATGAATATTTTCAATTTTGTTGTGTTGGAATTTCTTTAAGGATTCTGTTTAACTCTATTTTGTTACGTTTGGCTTACTTGGATTTTAAGTTTCAACGACACTGAAGTCATGTTAAAACATTTCTGCTTCAGTGAAAAAAAAGACCCCAGATACCCTTTGTGAAACATTAAAGACACGAGCGGGCACCTGACTAGAACCACCGACCTTCCGTAAATTAGCACGATAAATTCCTCACATACAAAGAATCCAAAGTCATGATTGGATTTCAACTACAGCAGTAAATGAAAGATGATTTGAAGTTGGCGGCCTTATCCCGACTCTGCCACTATTATGTACCTCTATCAGACTCACTAGAGAAAATATTGTAATTGTCTTACCTTAATTTATACTCTATAACTTTCAATATTATTTTCTTTTTCAAAAAAATTGAAAACTGCTATACAGGATGTCTGAAATAAAGAAAAACGACTTTTAATTTAATAATGACAAAATAATCGTAACTTCAACAAAGAAGCATTCGAAATGACGCCATGATCATGATTTGATTTGAATGCTTTTGGTTCGAGATGAGAAGGGTCTTTAAACATTGTCTTTTTTCAAAATCTATGTTTTGGGTTTTCGTATCCCCGATTGCAACCGAAACCATTTGAACAACTTAATTGGTAGAAAGTCATGTAAATTTTATCACATTTAGTCAAGTAGTTACTGAGCGGATGAGATTACACACACATATGTACGACAGACGGACGAATAGCCATCGGGCCAATAAGCTCACAGAGATTTAAAAGTCTATGTAACATTCATACATTTTACCTAGTACAGTTGTGTATATAGAAAATATCGAAGTCTAAACTGTAACCGAAATATGGGTATAAACTGTAACAATATCGGATACAAATCGCTATGTCTATGCTGTAACCCTGCACAAATTACCTCGCTCTATACTGTAACATTGTTTATTTTTTCAAACGCATTCAACGAACAGGAAAATAGGTTCAACTGGTCATTTACTTTTATAAACGTTTCCTAACATAAAGGACTAACGTTTTGTAGATTTACTTTTTCTAGGCATGCATAAATAATGTCGAAATTGAAGAAAAATGCGTTGGTCTCTCGATTCAAATTTTCAAACGGTCAAATCTGCATATTTATGAGACAATGTAGAGATAAATCTGCGGTGCAGGGTCTAAAGAAATATATGACTAGATATCGGATTTTGTTCCTTACAAGAAAAGCACAAAACACATCTTTTAGAAACTAAACTACTTGTAGTATGGACCGGAATAAAAATCACCTACCTGTCCTCCCAACAAATAATCCTCCATCTTGAAAATTCTATACTGTAACCGAAAAACGCGATACTGTAACACGTTCCCTACGGTGTAGTTAACCTTATGACAAACATTTAAATCGCATTTTTTCTGTAAAATATTGCCATGTACGGGGGGGGGGGGGGGGGTGTTGATTTTTTTTAAAGCTGTATGTCATTTCAATCTTTAGTTTCTCCTGCGTATTTCAGTCCTTTATCAAATACATTTGAGCCGTGTCATGACAAAACCAACATAGTGCGTTTGCGACCAGCATGGAGCCAGACCAGCCTGCGCATCTGCGCAGTCTGATCAGGATCCATGCTGTTCGCTAACCAACTCTATTACAAGTAGAGAAACTGATAGCGAACAGCATGGATCCTGATCAGACTGCGCGGATGCGCAGGCTGGTCTGGATCCATTCTGATCGCAAACGCACTATGTTGGTTTTGTCGTGACGGGGCTCATTTTATTTGGTTAGAAGGAAAAAAAGTTTGCTATGAATAAGCAGGCTAGCTTTAATTTTATACTTTACTTCGTTGTAGGCATCCGTGCGAAAACAAGATCGATGATTGTGTATATAATATACGAGATCAATTAGATATGAATGAGTATACAGATATCATGAATATATTCTCCAAGTTCGCCATTATTAAGTTAAATATTATTTCTGGTTATATAACGCTATTTGTGCTACCATGAAGGCTGGCGTTTATGGAGCGCGTAGCGGCTGCATTGTTCGCCGTCACAAAGAAGTTATTGGTTACAAATCAATCGGTTTTATGCGAATCTCTCTGTCACCGACACACGTAATATAAAATGGATTTTTTTGCAGACACGGAAAGGATTTTCTGTTTTATTCGTACATTATTGTATAAATCAATAGGAAAATATTGTTAAACATGTAAGGAAGGTATAATCAGTGAAATAACCGTGTTTACGAGTTTGGTTTATTTTTTATGTTATACCAGTCGAAGTATTGAATATCGGTTATCTTTGCAAAAAATTATTTAGAATATTCAATTTATTAAAATTGTTCCTGACTTTTAGTGAAGAAACCTAGGTGGAATTCAAGGATTTGCGAAAAACAGTTAATACTTAATAGACAAAAAATGGACCCGTTTGATGTATACGCCACTCTGTAGTATAGAGATTAATTGCAAATGATTGTACATGCAGTGGAATTTGTTTAAGCGTTTCAGGATCACAGCTTAAACGCTACTTTGAACTTAATTTACCGGTAGTTTAACAGGCGATACTTACTTGCATTCAATTGTGTTTACGTTTTAATTCAAAAGGTCGACATCACATATAAAATTTACAATAACATTTATTTTTTCAAACAGTTTAATTTTTGAATTTCTGTAAACTTACAAAAAACAAGTTTACTTTAAAAATTTTTTTATTGAAACCGAAATTGAAATGAAAGGAAATTCATTAGAAAAAGGGACGCATGACGAGGATGAAAACGAGATCCTTAAACAACAGGATAAGGCAATGGAGCAACATGACGTGTCATCAGCAGAGCACAAAGACCTTGACACCGGTTGGGCGTGGGTGGTTCTCTTTGCATCGTTCGGAACGTTTTGTTTGCTCGGTACTTCTTTATATTCTGTTGGAATCATACAATCGGTGTTACTACAAAAATACAAAGAAAGCATAACGTTGACGTCATGGCCAGGGGCAGTTAACACGGCACTGATGTCGCTCGGAGGTAAAACTATCCTAAATGTTTTAATATCATTATATTTAAAGCCAAATTACACATGTTAGTTTCTAAAATCTTATTTAACCATATCAACACTTCATTTGTGATATTGCACCTTGCATGTTTGGAATTATGATACCGTCCTTTGTCGTTATACGAGTTTCAATACATTATACTGAATAGAAAAGAACATGTAGTATATTCTTTTAAGAAATAATACAACGTAAATTTTATACTGAACATAAAAAACATACTGTATTCTTTTGAGAAATGATCCAAAGTAAATCTTATACTGGTATGAATGCGCGGCTATTTATATGCAGACTGACATATACTATAGACTAGTGACAATTATCTGTCATTAACACATCTTGCTAAATGCTAAACTATTTTCCATCAGAAAAAATATTAAAGCTGAGTTTTCTTTAGACCTTTATAACATATTGCAAAGTAGCTCGACTCCATGTACAAATTTACTTTCTCGATGTGAAACTCATATACATGTACTGATAAACATGAAAGGCTTTTAGAAAAAAATACTAATCAACAAGTGGTAAGTTATGAAGTTATGAGTGTGTTTCAGTCAAAACGATTAACATTTAAAGTCAAAGAAAATGAGATCATGCCTCCAGATGAGCCAAAATATTTCAAGAAAATCAAACTTGAGAACAAGTACTGAGATTTCAATAAAGTAAAAGATTCAAGATAAAAGTAATAATTTCCATGTTATGTGCCATTTATGACCGATTTTAAAGTATTTTTCACCATATTTATATTGCATTACCATCGCAATTTTTACTACGTTACTATAAACCATGCATATTTTGACATCTTTTTAGTAATTTACATGGGTTGTAAGTACCGTTTGCAATGTGAACATTATTTTCTTTGTTCACTTCACAATATTTTACATTGTAATACATTTTCAAAATTTTCATGAAAATTAGCATGAATCTGGAAGCGCGCTGCTTTAAATATTAAACACAGATATAAAAAAGTAAAAGTATTGGTCCATATCTTAATAACAATGTAAGAATATTTCACTTTTATTATCCAAACAAAATCTATGTCAATATTTTAGAAAGGTATATATAGCAAAATAGTACATATATATATAGCGTGTCCTAATTAGATTTTTAAGTTTGTTACAACTATGTCAATATTAAGTGCATACAGTATAGAACGCTACACCAAACTGCTTCCACAATCTGTTAATCTTGTATGAGCATAAAAGTAACATCAAATATAAGAGAGCATAAAACAGCAGGCATCTTATGATATTAATTATAACATACGAGCATTTTAAGTAGCATTTCTTTTCATGTGCATAACCTAGGAATTTGGAGAATAGAACATATTAATATAAATGTTGATGCTGACGAAGATTTATAACTGTGTCTGAAAAGCGAGTTATTTCACTATTTTAAACGTGTGTTACGATGTGAAATTTTGTTGATGTTTCATTTATTTTACACGCAGTTTTGAGGCCGAAATAGCCAAAAGGTATACTTTTCACAATTATGTAATGAAAATTCACAGTTGTCAAATTGAATGCAATGACATAATTTTCATTGCCTGAAAAACATGGGAACTGAGACATCAAAATTTGAGACTTTGTTTAATAAGATGTTCATCATGAATCAATGCATTGTCAAAATCAGCATTTAAACCTTTTCTCCCATTTAATAGATGAAATTTAACAAGTTATGCAATGACACAAGTATTTGAATTAATTGTACTATTACGTTTTTTTATCGAAAATGTAATAGTTGCACCATGCCAGTTCAAACTTACAACCGCTTGGTTTGATCAGACTATACCGTTTCATCCCAGACTCTACACTGTTGTCATCCCAGACCTTATATACTAATTGTTTGTTACCCCGACTTTATCCTGTTGGCATCCAAGACCTTATATAGTTTGTTACCCAGGCTTTATCCTAGTCCTAATAATTTTTCTTATATAGTTTGTTACCTAGGCCTTATCCTGTTGGCATCCAATACCTTATATAGTTTGTTACCTAGGCTTTATCCTAGTCCTAATAATTTTTCTTGATTTCTTGGCATCCAAGACCTTATATAGTTTGTTACCTAGGCTTTATCCTGTTGGCACATCAGACCTTATATAGTTTGTTACCCAGACTTTATCCTGTTGGCATCCAAGACCTTATATGGTTTGTTACCAAGACTTTATACTGTTGGCATCCAAGACCTTATATAGTTTGTTACCCAGACTTTATACTGTTGGCATTCCAGATCTTATATAGTTTGTTACCCAGACTTTATATTGTTGGCACATCAGACTTTATATAGTTTGTAACCCAGACTTTATACTGTTGGCATCCCAGACCTTATAAAAAAATTTACCCAGACTTTATCCTGTTGGCATCCAAGACCTTATATGATTTGTTACCCAGACTTTATACTGTTGGCATCCCAGACCGTATATAGTTGTTACCCAGACTTTATACTGTTGGCATCCCAGACCTTATATAGTTAGTTACCCAGACTTTATACTGTTGGCATCCCAGACCTTATATAGTTAGTTACCCAGACTTTATACTGTTGGCATCCCAGACCTTATATAGTTAGTTACCCAGACTTTATACTGTTGGCATCCCAGACCTTATATAGTTGTTACCCAGACTTTATACTGTTGGTATCCCAGACCTTATATAGTTAGTTACCCAGGCTTGATCATTTTGGCATCCCAGATTTTTTACAGTTTGTATGTAACCCAGACTTTATACCAGACTTTGTTTTATAAAAGATTTTTATACCTCACATGTGTCAAGTAACGTGTGGCAGCTGTAAAAAGTTGCCCCGTACTTCACTTCAGTGTTGTTATATTTTTCTGGTCCTTCGGGATCATTGATACCAGCAATATTAAGTGTTGAGAATTGAGTACCGCTGAAGCCGGTGCTAGGGACCGTTAGGGATATTGTACTTATTCACTATCCCTCATGTACAGACTCAATCAACCGAGTATGCAATGTAATGTAATTTTGTTTTGATTAATGCTTCCGAGGGATCACTTTGTTTCCAGATTTTTATATAGATGGCTTTAAACCACATCTAACATTTTGTTCTAGAACAATCAATTACAATGTATCATGAATTATCAGATCATAATTATATCGCACACTTACCACAACATAATAATAATAATATAATTCTTTCGTGGTTTGCTGTCATTTGTAATGCTATATACAACAACATAATTATAAATGACATAACAGGTATTTCATTGATGGACCATTTCACTTTAACTTGATATTAAAAGCCCCCCCCCCCCCCCCATTCACAATGACCAGCACAGACAACATTCAGCAAGACTTGGTATGTAAGTCATAAAACATGTAATATCAATGTATTTATAACAGTTACTTAAATATTTCAGATAATTATTTTCTGTTCTGCTTTATAGTTTTACACATTACACAGTAATGCACTTTAAATTTTGGCAGTCTGAAAGAGAAATGGCCTATAAAAATGTGACGTGATTTTAAATTTGTAGTAAAAACTGTACTTAAACACATACATTACATTATATAACGCAGACATGATTATGCAGGCTATGAATACAATTATAGATCTAAAGTTATTTTAAAAGCTATGGATTAGATTTAAAATCAATAGATTCTACAAGAAAAATATTATGGATTGATTTCTTTTCAAAAATAATTATATCAATGTTGCTTAAATTAAGACCGCGAAATGAGTCAGTGAATCATGCAAAATGATCGGGAGAAGATCGTGATCCCTCTGGAGCATTAATCACAACTAAATTACATGAAAATTCCAGACTCGGTTTGATATTGAGTCTGTCCATGAGGGATAATAAAAAAAGTGCAACATGCCGAATCATTCGGATATTCTTATAAGATTTTGCTTGAAAGAAAAAAAATGTTGATAAAGTTTTAGGTGATTAATTTAGTATGAAATTTTTATGATGATGATTGGAAAAATTTATTATTTGCTCTAAAAATATAAGTAATATCGGATCATGTTTCCCATACTTGCAAACAACAATCATGTATAATTATTTCGTGGCTTGTTGTTTTGCCTTTGATGCTTTCAACGTAATTATTTATTGTATTACAGGCCTTCCAATATAGACCAATTCACTTTAATGAGATTAGCCTTTGCTCCCAGGCCATGAACATCCGTGTAGTCTGACCAGACTCTTTAGGCTCTTTATACTGTTGGTAGCTCTATTTTCGTATTTTGATATTGAAGTTCCTTAAAATTCAAATGGACTGTTCCGAATTCAAAGCAGGGAGAAACCATTTCACAATTTCAGCAATTTAAGGACCCGTATGTATGTTACAACCTCAAAGTACTGTCTTTAATTGTCACTTCAGTTTTGCACTAAAGTTTCGTACACATGATGTTTTCGTATTTATTATTAAGCTAGTACACTTAACCCTTTACCACATATATACGCGAAACAACGCATTTTCGACCCCCCCCCCCTTTTTTAGGCCTCAAATAGTGAAAAAATGTCCTATTTGGGCCCCAAACACATGTTTTCGTTTGAGAAATGTTGGTCAAAAAATTGAGCACTTTTTCGGCGTCGCCCCCCATCCAAAAGATACATCAGGGGGTTGCCAGAAGGGGGATGTGCCCCCTTCTGTTAGGGGGGTTTGAAGGGGAGCGGAGTCCCCCTCATCGCCAAGAAAATTTTGGACTTGTGAGAGGCTAAAAATGACCCCAGGTCGATCATATTATAACGTGTAACCAACGCTGAAAAGCCTTTGACTCTATATCAATCCCTTGAGAAGTTGCAGCACTTTGAAATAAATTTTGATGGAAAAAATCGAGGCAAAATAGTGATTTTTGGCAATTTTGAGATGTCCCCTCGTTGCCATGGTAACAGGAAATTTAAGACTGAGCATGTCGTCACAAAGGCAATGGTCCAGTCAACATTTGTGCCAAGTTTGATTAGTATTGAAGCATTTTTCATAGTTTCATAGCAGTTTGAACTTGTAAGAGGAAGCTTTTCAGTAAAAATGGCCATTTTTCACAATATGCTCATGGGGGAAAGGGTTAACTAAAAAAATTATAAATGTTACAAAACAACAATATTTCACCAAAATTAGGTGAAAGACCACATTTTAACATGGAAAAACTAGTTTTTAGGTGATTCCAAAGTTTTTCATCATTTTTTGTTAACTAAAAAAATGATAAATGTTACAAAACAACAATATTTCACCAAAATTAGGTGAAAGACCACATTTTAACATGGAAAAACTAGTTTTTAGGTGATTCCAAAGTTTTTCATCATTTTTTGTTAACCCTTTACCACATATATACGCGAAACAACGCATTTTCGACCCCCCCCCCCTTTTTTAGGCCTCAAATAGTGAAAAAATGTCCTATTTGGGCCCCAAACACATGTTTTCGTTTGAGAAATGTTGGTCAAAAAATTGAGCACTTTTTCGGCGTCGCCCCCCATCCAAAAGATACATCAGGGGGTTGCCAGAAGGGGGATGTGCCCCCTTCTGTTAGGGGGTTTGAAGGGGGGCGGAGTCCCCCTCATCGCCAAGAAAATTTTGGACTTGTGAGAGGCTAAAAAATGACCCCAGGTCGATCATATTATAACGTGTAACCAACGCTGAAAAGCCTTTGACTCTATATCAATCCCTTGAGAAGTTGCAGCACTTTGAAATAAATTTTGATGGAAAAAATCGAGGCAAAATAGTGATTTTGGCAATTTTGAGATGTCCCCTCGTTGCCATGGTAACAGGAAATTTAAGACTGAGCATGTCGTCACAAAGGCAATGGTCCAGTCAACATTTGTGCCAAGTTTGATTAGTATTGAAGCATTTTTCATAGTTTCATAGCAGTTTGAACTTGTAAGAGGAAGCTTTTCAGTAAAAATGGCCATTTTTCACAATATGCTCATGGGGGAAAGGGTTAAAGGCGGTCATGTAAATCGCTGAATTGGTAAAATGTTCAGTAAAAGAAAAGTTCATTCAAAATCAAGCAAGCATCTCTATCATGCAGTTGCTATACATAAATTGCCTTAGGTAACAATATTTTCCTCGCTGTTACTCACATTCCTATGTGTTATTTATTTTATTAACCCAAACAGATACTTTATTGGGATACTGTTTATAGGTTTTTATTCTGTGAAATAGTAAGTACATTATGTATTATACTGTTACATACGTAACAGTACAAAATTTTCAATCACATGGTACACTTGAATTAACAGTAAGAATAACTCCCATTGGCCTATGGGAAATTAACATTAGAAAAATATTGAAACATGTTACCTCACTTATTTAAGTGGAAGTAATGAAATTGCAAATATTTATTGTTAACTGCTGATTTTTTATTGAAAAAAAAACCCCAAAAAAAACGTAATATAAACATTTGTTTTACTGTCAACTAGTGAGAAAATCTTGATTGAAGATTATTTTCGCTTATCGAGGTGTTACTATTTTGCAAAAAAGACATGTAATAATGATAAGTCTTTAACAAGAAGGTAGCGCTTGAAGATACAGGATCGTACAAATTACAAACAACAAAAAGTAAAATATTATAACTATCAACGTTTTTCTTGAAGAAAAATCATTTTTAAAGAATGTATTCAGCTAAATCAATCAGATAATGTATTTTTTTCCTGCATATGAATCAAATATATGTTCTGCATATTGTATGAAAATAGTCAAAAGAAGCAACTTAAAGGAAGTCCAACTTTTGTGATATGATCAAGATTAAAGTTTTGTGACAAACAAACAAACGAACAGACAGACAGACAGACAGACAGATAGAAAAAGCAATATACTCTCCCAATTTAACGATTCGCGGCTATAAGAAATAGCGTTTAATGTACAATGTAATCCCATGTGAAGATTATTCAATATATTTTAATGCAATTTAGGTGTTATTAACATGTGACTATAACTCACTATTCAGGTCCACTTTCAAGCGCTATGGTTGATCGTTTCAGTTGTAGAACGGCCATCGTTTCATCTGGTATATTCCTGACCATTGGATATCTTGCTACAGGTTTTGCTACCAACATTTACGTCGTCATCTTTACATACGGTTTCATCGGAGGTACGAGTTACACATTTGTACATCTGTTCTTATCATAATCTCTTAAATATTTATTTCTTGTTTCTATAAGATTTCATCGCGATTATGCTCTAAGAAGTGTAAGGCGATTACTGAAGAAGAAGAAGAAGATGATGATGATGATGAATTCCTGCATTCTTGCAGTTTGATTACATGATTATAATTCTGAATAAAAAATTACCTGCAAATGCAGTTAAATACAGTGTGACTATGTCTATACATTCTTTCATTGTTTCACATTTATTCTTCGCTGAAACGTATTTGCAAACTGAAAGAGTTACGATAAGCTTTTTTCAAACTGATATATTCAATCCTTTATTAAAATCTTCCAAAGAATGAGATAACCATTTTTTATTGCCGAATAAATAAATATATTAATTGTTCGTACGCTACATGAATCTTTTGCAGGTATTGGTGGAGCCCTCGGATACACCGCAGCCTTGATAGTTGTTGGCTTAAACTTCAGAAAACGCCGTCATTTGGCTGTCGGCATAGCGGTGGCGGGAGTCGGTGCAGGTTTGTTTGTGCTCGCACCTGTACTTCAGCTGTCACGTGACTATTATGGATCTAGCGGATTCTTCATCATCATGGCGGCGATGATGGCAAACATTTTAGTATTCGGAACATTGTGTTTTCCTAGTGAACTAGAAAAGGCTACTCAGCAACAACGAAAACATGAGATAAAAGTAGATAAAACGAGGAATAGTTTTTTGCAGTCTTTACAATGTTATCTGAGAGTTCTGTCAAAAGTACCCGTTATACTATTATGTTTGTGTATGTTCTGTTATGTTCTGGGAGTACAGTTGATATACCAGCATTTACCTAATTTTATCGTTGCTAAGGGGTTCACCGCAATACAAGCAGCATTCTTAGTGTCATTGTCGGGTTTACTGACAATTTTTGGTCGGGTACTCACTGGAATCGTAGCAAACTTAAACCGGGTTAACTGTACGATACTATACTCAGGATCAATGGCCGTTGTTGCAATTATATCAATTATATACCCGTTCATAGCCAAAAGTTTTGCAGGTCACGTGATATACATGGTGGTGCTAGGACTGTTTTTTGGATGTCCTTATGTGACAATAATGGCAGTTACCTTGAAATTTGTTGGCATTAATTTTATATCAGCTGCCATAGGACTCCAATACTGCGTTGCTGGTGTTGGGTCCATTGTGGGACCAGTTCTAGCTGGTAAGTACACATATTTGTTCATATATCAAAATGTTAAGTAAAATACTGTAAATGAAATCATTTAAATTGGCAATCAAACGTTACAATGCACTTTATTTTTAAATCAAAATATATGTTTGGTAAATACATGTACATGTATGTTTATACCAGCGTATACTTATTCTAAGTCTTATACATGTGAGTCTGTGGAAAAACGAAAACAAGATTGACATTTTATCATATTTTCATTTAGGTGTGATATAAAAACACGATAAAGCTATACTAACTACATAATAATTATGATGTGGTATTTGAACACATAAATGATATTACCATAATAAAAATATGTCTTTTTTTTGATATGTATATAAATAATTGTATGTTTACTACAGGGTTTCTAATAGATCAAGGAGGATCGTATGAACTATCTATACTAATAGCAGGTTAGTTAATTGTCATGATTATCTTGTATTTTATTAATTGTTTTTCCCCTGTATATACATATATCATTGATTGAAAGTAATAAAATATGTTAATTTCACTTTACAAAAAAATTAATTAAGATCATGTATATATTTTACAGCGTTTTGCATTGCATTCGCATCAATCTTCAGTGCCGCCACGGAATGTTTTAAACCAAAGGATATACAAACGCCATTAGATACGGAATTTGAAGTTGGTGAGAAAATACGACATTCCGATGGACCATGTGAACATAGCAAAATGTTGAAGGAATAAAAACTTCCCATCAAAGGCTACCAGATACATATGAGATTCGTTGGCATCTTTGTTCCGGTCATGACCGGTGCCCCGCTGGACGACCTTTCCAGTGGGATTGTGTGGCTGAATAAATACCGGTGCTACTGTGCTTCATTAACGTGATTTCTTTTTTTAAAATTTTCACTCTCATATCTGTTCACATCTCAATGTATATTTTATATATCTTGCTCAAAATTATTTTTATTACCTTTCAGTCTGTTTTTTTTTTACCAAATTTATTCTTTTCTTTTAGTTTTTGAAAAATAAAATGTGTGAGTGGAACTTTGTGCTTCATGACAATGTTTCAAATAATAATAATAATAATAATAATAATAATAATAATAATGAAAGTATTGATCATAAAAATTCTAATAATGGTACTGAATGATTATGATACTTGATGTATTACAATTTTTTATCATCATCATTACAACGATGATGTTTTTTTTTGTAATTTTAATTTATCTTTTTCTTATCATTGCCTTGCTAATTATCACCACTGCGACCATCATCATCATCATCATTATCATCATCATCATCATCATCATCATCATCATCATCATCATCATCATCATCATCATTGTATTTATCTTGCTCAAAATTATTTGTTATCGTTTATACCATTTAAAAAATGTGTATAGAACTATATATAAAAATAACAACTAGAGATGCATTTGTAGTTTTAATAATGTATGTCAATATATTATGATATAATACAAGTCCTTAAAATAAAAATAATCTACCCGACCATATATCTTTCTAATTGTTGAACAAATGTCATCAACCTTCAACGTTTCGAGAGGATAAACCCGTCTTTATCAAGGAGGTTTTAGTTTATTTTGTGAATCACATATTAATCTTATTTTTTCTTACAATATATTAGCAAATAATCATACATGTATATATGTCTTTCAGTGTAACATTTAGCACTGTCGCCAAAAATGACATAACATATGTGAAAACTATAGGTCAGTCTGGTGTTTTCGCACTACAGTACAATGACATAACTGAGAAGATATAGATTATTTATATGAATATCTTTGTAAATATCTCTGTAAATAACAGTACATTTTCAGCATTTAGTGTTCGTGTAATTATGTTTAATTATAGCAATTTACATCTTGTTTTCTTTTTGAAGTCTTGTTTTAAAAGACAATGTTTATAATACATGTAATAATAATAATAATAATAATAGTAAGAAATAAAAGTCTTGTTCTAAAGACGATGATATTTATAATTACGATGAGTTGAGTAGTTGTTATCTTCTTTTATTATCATTATTAAAATCTTCATGATCATTTCCACTACGTACGATATTCATCATGATCATTTCCACTACGATATTCATCATGATCATTTCCACTACGATATTCATCATAATCATTTCCACTACGATCATCATGATTATCATTTCCACTACTATCATCATCCCATGATCATTTTCACTACGATCATCATCATGATCGTTTCCACTACGATCATCATGATGATCATTTCCACTACAATCATCATCATAATCATTTCCACTACGATCATCATGATGATCATTTCCACAACAATCATCATCATGATCGTTTCCACTACGATCATCATCATGATCATTTCCACTACGATCATCATCATGATATCATTTCCACTACGATCATCATCATGATCATTTCCACTACGATCATCATCATGATCATTTCCACTACGATCATCATGATGATCATTTCCACAACAATCATCATCATGATCGTTTCCACTACGATCATCATCATGATCATTTCCACTACGATCATCATCATGATCATTTCCACTACGATCATCATCATGATATCATTTCCACTACGATCATCATCATGATATCATTTCCACTACGATCACCATCATGATCATTTCCACTACGATCATCATCATGATCATCACCGCGATCATTGTGGAGATCTTACATTTTGCACTAAATATTTTGTCAGGATGATGACCATGACAACCATCGGTAAAAAAAGTTTTAATGAGTTACTTGTCTAGTTAAATATACACCACTTTAAATTTCGCATGTAGTACCTTGGACCTTTAATCAAGAATTAAATTTTTTCTCTTTTCATATGTCCGTTTTTTAAAAAATAACAGACGGTTTTATTATGGGATCATGCCTAGTTTGAGCATAAACCAGGTCTCCAGGTAAAAAATATCTGGAGAATATCTTCTCTTGATAATTCTTTACATCTACACCTATGAACAGTATCCCTTGGTTAAAGGTCAAGTTAACGGGAAAAAAGCCCATTTTTACACGCGTTGAGAGTATTGTTATATTAATTAGCACAAATGTTCAACATTTTGAGGCATAGTGTTGCGTGCAAAATTCATGCCACTGTGGCAATGTCTCATGCAGAGTTCTAAGGTCAAATAAAAATCAACAACATATTGACCAATTCGTCATCATGAATTGAGAGACTTTAATGTAAAAGTTGAATATCATGACACATAGCATTTTTGACAGACAATGGTTACTCTGCGTTTTTCAGTGCTGTTTGATGCAATGGTCTCGAGGCATTGCAATTAACGCAAAAATATGAGAGAAGTTTCATATTTTTCACAGTCATTTAGTGCATTTACGTACATACGCGTAAATCAAACTGAAATAATACTAATAAAAACAAATCCATGTATGGGGATTTACGGGATGTCCTTTTTAGGAAAATCATACATTTAGATAAATCCCTGATTATAAATCACCATCAGTATTTAGAATGTTTTAATTCCCTTTTGGACAATCAAAACGTTGAACTGGTTAAGCTGGTTTAATCCTATAGATATATTGCTTGTATGAAATTATTTTGTCACACAGTGGTTAAATTCGTCTATCTCATTCTCTTTCAGAATTTCTTTCTTTAGTATTCAAAACTGTATTTTCCTACTACATGTACATTCAACAACCACTGGCTGTAAAAAATAATATTGTTAGATGACAGCTTCTGTAAGGTTTCGCTTCTAGCCAAAATCTAGAACTGCATTATATTGAAATGTTGTTTTTTGTGTATAAGTTACTGAATAAAAATATGTTTGAACTAAATAAACAGTGGTTTCATATGTGGTTGTTTATATTTTGTACATAGTATACCAAACAGAGTTGCCAGGATATACATCAGTATTTCGTATTCATCAAAAGTGGAACAAAGTTTCGAAAAAAAGCACAGCCACTTTCACACCGTGCATTTCCCAAACATTGCACGATATACAACATCATGTGTGGATACTCAAGTAGTAAATAAAAAGTCAGATTCAAAGACAATTTAAAAATCAGTGAATACAAAATAGAGAAAATAAGAATCCCATTAGAAAGCCCAACACGTCAAAATTAAAAATGTTGCAGGCTCGGTTTGATTGAGCCTGTTCATGGACGATAATGACAAGTGCAAACTACCGTCCACGCCCCCTAGCACCGGCTTAAGCAGAGTTAAACATGAAATGGTTAAATTTTGAATTTAGAAACATCTGCAGATGTGTTCATATGGCGTTATCATGGAAACTTCAATGTGACACTTCCTTGAAAAGCGGCGTATGTTCCTCAAGTAATGGAAAGCTGTGAAAACAATGGGCAGAACTAAACAAAATGGAATTTTGAACGGGGATCAGAGGTTATGAAGCCTGCATATCACAGATAGAACGTCAAAAGACAAAGTTAAAAAGCAGGCAACATATCCTAAGGCTGATTCAACATTATACAAGAAGGAATATTGGAACCACCCAACTAGAAAATGCCGAATAGTTAAAACTAAAAATACCACACACACAACAATAATGTTGTGTTGAACGATCTTTAAGGATCGGAAATATAACATCTCTGATTTTATATACGGGGCGATTTTTACACAATGCTGATGTGGCGAGAAAATAAGAATCCCCAAAGGAAGCCCAACACGTCAAAATTGGAAATGTTGCAGGCTCGCTTTGATACAAAGACACGCTGCAGTGTAATTGAAAGAACACAGAGGGACACCGTCTTGGAATGGGACTAAAGAAGCAATCGGAGAAAGAAACCGAATTGATTGAGGTTCACACATTTTTTATAAACATATTTGCCAAAATGACATAAATATGTAATATCGTTTTTACTATCTGGTTAACAGTACCTCCATTTTATTTATTTTTTGCAATAAAATATTTCGGTTGTAGTATGTGCAAGTCAAAGTCCAAGCCCCCCCCCCAGCACCGGCTAATGCAGAATTAAACAATTAACATGAAATGGTAAACTGGTAAGTCATATATATTTTACTTCCTTACATGCACACACATGTAATGATTTACAATAATTACAGTTCATGCAATTTTAAACTAGACCTTACCACAGCAAATTACTTTATTTGTATTTTTTCACTATCTGTAGCATTGCCTTCAATGGCCCATTTCGTATTCCTTGCAAATTAAGTTGTCATAGATACGTCCAACAATCTTGTTACGATTGTCAAATCCCTTCTTGCCCAATATCTGTGGTCTCGTGTGGCTGGCCGTTTTCGGGGGCTGCATTCGCTCTCGCCTGTTGATTTTTATAGTGAAATTCATTTAATTGAATGACTTGCCCTGTAATGAATTTTGACCAGTCCATAACCTAATAAATCCGGAGATTTCGGTATAAAAAAAAAAAAAATCAAAAGAGTCATAAAAAACAACAAAAGAGGCATGGTGTTTTTTTACGCTCATCAGAAAAGGAATAAGTTGCCGTTCTTGAAAAGACAATTAACAGCATATTAACCCTTTCACTGCCATAGGGACGGCTTAAGCCGTCCCTGTTATTTTCGGCGTATTGCCATATGGACGGCTTTAGCCGTTTCTATAAAAATAATAGTTATAATAATAAATTAATAATAATAATTATAAAAATAATAATAAATATAAAGAAAATTATACCATCGACAATAATAATTATTATACTAACAGATTTGGAAACATAAATAATTATTATAATACTAATAACAAATAATAATAATTATATTAATTAATAATATAGTAATTTCTTAGAAAATCCTCTGGCAAATAGGTGAACAATAAAACAATAACCCTCTGGCAGCGAAAGGGTTAAATATAATTAAGTAAAATATGGATTAGATAGTAAAAACCCTGAAAAGGTTTTCAAGAGCAATGACAACAAACCATAATAAGATAAATGTTTAGTCGATTAGATTGACCCTCTACAAGACAGACGATTTAAAAAGAACAAGTTCCATGATGTCATTTGTATCTTTTCTATCCGCTTACAATTGACCATTGCTTTAAACTATTTTACTTAACATTAGGGGGATGATAGCAAACATTTCCTTATTTCTATTTATAATGTACAATATATAGTGTACAGGTCTGTGCTTTAATAGAGCATCGATCTCGGACATGAATCTAATTGTCAATAACAAGGCCGTCGTCGATGGTCCGGCCGGTCCGGCCTTGGCCGGACCAATATTTTGGCCAAAAATGAGTAAAAAAACAACACATAAACAAAAAAAGCACGCATCGCTGATTAGCAATTTGACACTTAACTGGGCCCTTATGCAATGCGCGGTTATATACAAACATGACACGAAGAAACAACTGGACACAATTAATTGACCAGGTATATGTAGGGGTCCTACGAAGTCAAGTTTGAGTACTTTTGCGGTGTAATGTTTGCACACGACATCCTAGCATTGACAGACAACCTCAGCAAATCTCCTCAACAAGTTTCATTGTCAGCATCAGAGGGCCAGCGGCTAGCAAAGCGGACTCTAGATAGTTTGATAGACATGAGATCAGACGACAGTTTTGATTCTTTATAGATTAAACTTCAAAGTCGGTGTTAACGATCCAAATGTTCCGCGGAAGTGAAAGGCACCCACACGATTCGAGATGGGGCACGGTGTTGGCTACAACCCCGTTACAGTGCTGGACGTGTTCCGGCCACTTTGAAGCAATCGATCTTGCCATCGCCAGTGTTAAAGAGAGATTTGACCAACCGGGATATCGCGTTCTTCAAAACGTGGAGAATTTACTTAAAAAGGCCGCACAACCTTTGAAGACCGAGTCCACTAGAGAACTTGGTTTTGTTTGTGATTTCTGTGGTAACAATATTAACCGAGACATCTTAGATGTGCAGCTTCACATTTTGACAAATCAGAAAATAGTACTGTTACTCTACCCGGCTTTTTGAAATTTGCGTCAGAACAGTCGATGCTAGAACGAGCACTGTTCTCTGAGGTCGTTGTGTTGTTAAAGATTTTATTAGTAATGCCTGCTACTAATGCTTCCAGTGAAAGGACATTCTCGGCGTTCAGAAGAATTAAGACTTACCTGAGATCAACAATGTTTCAAGTAGTTTGAACAATCTAATGGTGTTAACTGGACAGATCCACTCAACTTACGTGTAATTGCCGATGAGTTCATCACTACCAGAGATAACCACTGATTTTTAAAGCATTTGGAATAAGTAGCCGGTCACTTTCGGAGACATTGGTAATTACTGGTTAGTTATCTATAAAGCTGGTTTAAAGTGAATCAACCTTCGAGAAATGACTTAACCATGGCGTAAAACCCAGATAAACAAACAAACACTACAGTGCACCTAGACTTCTAAGCAGGATTCGATATAAGCTCCAACCAAAGTCAGGGATAAAAGCTTACAAATGGATAAAAAAAACTTCTTTGAAAACTACAGCAATTCAAGAGTATAGATAAATATATATTTTTATTCAGGATGCCAAACTGTAACAAGTGGTATTTCCCAGGGATATGTTGGCAGGGCCTGTTATTCCTAATATTTAAACATGTCCTTCCTTGGGCAAATACCTGCACAACAAAACTCAAAAGACTCGAGTAATAAAATTTTGAAAAAATCCAATTTTGGTTTATCATATTTTATAAGGAAAAAGACCTAGTTCCTATATGTTCGGTTGCAAAATGACATGTAGCAAAACATATATAACGTCAATAAGGCTCATAGTAATCTAGAACTAATGATTTTTAAAACAAAAATGTTTTCACAATTATACAAAGCAAAAAGCTTTGGAAAGGTCAAATAGATCCTTCCTTGTTGATTTTATGTCAAGTGCTATCACGGACTTTAATTTACTAAAATAGAGAGAAACGGAATCCCTAAAAATAACGTCCAAAACGACAAAATTGAAAATGCTGCAGGGTCGGTTTGATTGAGCCTGTTCATGGGCGGTACTGGAAAGTGCAAGTTACCGTCCACGCCAACTAGCATTCAATATTTAATCATGGCAATGTGAAATTTTGAAATTTTGAATATATGTGATCATACTGCGGTTATCATGGAACCTTTGAACAATGTGACAAGTCAATGACAAGTTAATTAGACTTAATTAAGGAGGTACCGCTTTTCAGGTTGTACTAGCTTTAAAAATCCAAAATATTTAGGACAAAAACAGTTGATTTAAAATGTTTTGGATGATTCTCTGCTAACTGAGATATTTACATGCATGACACAGTAATTTAGTGACAAAACTTAACGTGGGTGTAAATTCTCAAGTCCGTGTCATGTCTGCATGAAAATCAATAGGAGTGTTTGATCTATACAGGGACTCAAATATTTTCTTTGCGTCGCGAAACAAACCTCGATTCGGCCTTGAGTAAAAATCGAACACATCTCGCAAAATGTCAACAGATGGAGAATTACAGAGATAAAAACTTAAATTGCGTGAGTGATTAATTGTATTTTTGAGATTTTATTTATCACCGTGAACGAAAGACTTCCCAGATACATTTATGACATTTGATCAGAGTTGAATATGCTGTAGCAACCACGATCCATGCGAAATAAATCTGCAAAATAACGTCTTAGTCTTACTGTTAATAGGCTTAATCAGTTAAACTGTTAAATATACATTTCCACATTTAATGTTTTGCAAAATTGGTTATGCTGTTACTTTTCATTCGTGTGAAGTTATTTAGTTCTATTGTGATATTAAGATGTGTTGCTTATTTATTATGCCATCAATTGTCAGGTTCGTACAACATGAATGACAGACTATTCTCTCCCTTACCAGTTCTGACGGTTCTCTCCCAAACCATTTCCTCCCCTGACGGTTCTCTCCCAAATTTGAAATATGCTGACAGTTCTCCCCCAATTTGTACTTGTTAGTTATCATGATTTTTAGTTTTGACTTAATCTAATAATATTTCTTGAAGATTATTTAAAGAATGTATTTGATATTAAGTAAAGTGTTTATTTGATTCTGAAAATTGTTTGTAAATTTAACACCTTTTTCAGATATTTTAATCCTAGTGAGAGGTTAAGATTATTGGACTGTGATTAATATACATTCACCTGTAATTATGTGAAGTTCTAGTGATATTCATTAATTTGTTAAATAGCGAATAAGGTGGCAACAAGTATGTTATAGAAAATAAATAAGCAACAACTGGTATGCAATCACATAAATGAAATAAAATAAATTCACATTTACTTTTATACAAAATTGATTAAAGAACATGTAGCCATTAAAATGAAACAATATATATTACCAAATAACTAATTTAAATATGTGTTTATCAACACCTTAAATTCACAGTTATTTAATCATTAGATTACTTCTTGAATAATGAATTAATAAACACCTTATAATTATCTCTGGCAGCAAACTTAACCCACATGTGTATTGAACTCCTTTCTTCATTATACAAAAATATGAAATTTAGCGATTAAAATTTATTAATTATTTTTTATTTAATTTTTTTTCTTATTTATTAAAAAAAACAAAAACAAAAAAAACTCACCCAATTATAAATATCGAATCATTATCCTAATCAAGTAAATTAAACACATTAAAAAGTATACGTTAGATCTAATAAAAAAAATCAGAATTATATATTTATATGCTAAAAATACTTTTTTAATCTAATCTATATCAATTAATCATAAACATGCTCATGTTCTGATTAAACATCTAAATACTCAAATAAAATTATTTTTTTCTCTCTAATTTATACCAATTAATATAATAATTTAATAATAAACTAATCCATTTATTAAACATCTAAATACTTCAATAATAATGTATTAATAAATATAAAGATGGGGAGGAACTGTCTGCTTATTTGCAAATATACAGACGGTTCTCCCCCAAAATAGGGAGAGAACCGTCAGGGAGGAAACGTCAGGGGAGGAACTGGAAAGGGAGGAACTGGTAAGGGAGAGAATAGTCTGACTACCGTACAACATACAGAATACGCATACGGCTGCACTATTCATTTGTAAAACTGACTTCACAAACAGGCAATAGTTAAGACATAGACATTTGGGTTGTCATGCCTCCTACTAAAATTTGAGACAGTAGGACTGGGATCGAAAATTCCACTAGTCCTTTCATATTTATGAGTAGAGATCGATGCAGGACAAGTAGTGAAGTACAAAATGGTAGAATACTTGTCCGGTAGGATGAGTGAAAATTATCTGATGTTATAGGAAGCTAGAATTTTCATAATCAGTTTGTTTACATTTAACAAAGGGAGAGGAGAAACAAAGCTTGTGTTTAAGGTTATGTATAAATTGTGCACTATACGCATTGTTTATTGGATAGGGGTGTAACTGGAACGTGCACAGCAATGCCCTATAAAGTGTGTGATTATACATAATCTAAAACACAATCTTTGTTTCCTATTATCCTTAGTTAAATTTGTGTGAAGAAACTGATTATGAAAAAGTTTAGAGGTTGATTGCATCAGCGAGGTTCTAACTTCTATTGCATCGGGAGATTTATTTTGAAAAACATGCCCAAAATACAGGATGAGTAGCTTACCATGCAGGATGGGTGGATCAAATTTTTTTTATCCCTGTAGGATTGTCACCCCTCCTTGTAGTTTCGAGGGGAGATGTTGCCCTTACACAAAAAAACACAATAAATCTCGATGCGTAGTACAATAAGTTCACCGTTGGACTACCCTCCTTATAAAAGTCACACCTTGCAAGGTAGTCAAGATGGTAAAATCCCTGTTAAATGTCACATTTTCAGCAAGTTGATTATACATGTATCCTCAGCAGCAATTACCTGGTATAGACCCCTTTGTTTATCACTGTCTATATTTTATATAGTAATATAGTACATCAATACTTAATGAGCCTTAGTACTATATATACTCCTGGTTTAGACCCCAGGGTCTTATCTAAAATAAAGCCTCAACTGCTTCTTTGGTGCCTAGACCTCCAGTGCAGGGACCGACAAAAGCTCTTATTATTCTCAGCTATCCCTTCCATTGCACTGGGGAAGAGTCTGTTAGATGGTCTGGATTACAATTGTACGATACATTATTTTGTTTAGAAAAAAAAATTGAAAGTTTGCACATTACATCAATTTTTTTTTGTCATCAATTTCTTATCCCTTGCCAGAGGCAGAGTGACTTTGATAAAGATTTTATATTAGATATAGATTAGTTATTGTCCTTTTAAATTTGTCTGGAACATATGGTAACTCAAAAATATTGAAGGTATCAATTAAAACTTCCAAGATAGATGGAGTTGAAGTGCAGTGCCCAAGAACCATAACTCGTTTTTGGATACTTTAAGAATTTATGCTCTTTATATTATGAGGCATATCTCAAAAAATAAAGAAGGTTCATCTTCTAAGATGGATTTATTACATACAGGAGAAGTGCAGTGTCTAAGCACCATAACTCTCCTAAAGTGCATTATGCAGCATAATTTTGGAGTGATTTGTGATTTTATATATATACATGTATATACTATTATATATTTTGTCTTGATCATTTCTCAAAATGTATTAGAATTATTAACTTGAAACTTGACAATTGGATACATCTCATGGAGGAGAAGTGCAGTGCTAATGAACCATAACTCTCTGTTACAGAATTAAGGAGTTATTGCCCTTTGTAATTTTTCGTGTTTAGTATTTGTGTGGAACATAACTGAAAAAGTATTATTGGTATCAACTTGAAACTTCATAGATGAGAAAGTGCAGTTTACAAGTAGCACTCTCTTTTGCATATGATTTTGAAGTTATTGCTCATTGTTTTCTTTCATAAAAGGTTTATATATTAATATATAATACAATGTATCAATAACTATCGGGCCCTGATTTCAATATTTTAGACGTACATGCAGGAACCCCCAAATACTTCTTAAAAATCATCAATCACATTATTGCTGACTGTATTATTTGTATTAACAGTGAAACTATATAAAAAAGGCCTGTATATATAACTGTATTGTTTAAGATTTTAGGATCTTAATAGTCACTGATTCCAAACAGTTATTTTGTAAGATCTTTAATTAATTCATAAATGTATATCTCACAATAAGTATTTCCAAATAAAACAGTAACTCTCAGTTTATCTGATCTGTCCCACCCAAACAGTAACTCTCAGTTTATCTGATCTGTCCCACCCAAACAGTAACTCTCAGTTTATCTGATCTGTCCCACCCAAACAGTAACTCTCAGTTTATCTGATCTGTCCCACCCATCAGAATTACAGCCTGCCACTGTTTATTCTTGCTTGATTGTAAGGGGTGACTAAATTGGTTCGTTTCCTGGACTCCTTGCATCTCTTGGCTCACACAGGTGAGGTGATTTTGACCCCCTGGTATTCATTTAAGTTTGTAACATCAGAGGTTAGCCAAAATCATCTTTCCTGTTTGGCGCCAAATGACCGTCCAGGGAATTCCCCAGGCGCTTTTAGCGCATCGGCGCCGATGCGCTAAAATTTCAGAACAAGAAATCCCGATGCGCTTAAAATTATCATAGCGCTTTAAAAAATGACCGATATCCCTTTCTTCTGTGTCTATAAGTTAACCCCAATTAGCCAAATAAACAAGCCAATATACATGTCCTGTGTAGATAATTACCCGAGGCGTATACACAACCCGATACACTGATTGCCTTTATACTGTGTGACGTCACAGACACCTGTCATCGATGTCTGCAGACGACTGTTTGTGCACTTTTAGGTGTTGTCAATTACCGTGTATTGAGATGGGTGCAATTTAACCGCGGCATGTGTGATATTTACATGTTTCAGGTAGGTGTAATAACTTTTATTGCTTTGATAATATAATTGGCATTAATTGACATGCGATATAACAGTTTGATATTTAGGGGTGAATGGGTTAATTGTCTTGATAGAAGTGTAATGTTCAATTTCATCTTTAACTTTCTTATGATCGTTACGTCTAAGCAGTACTGTAGTATTAAGATTTCAAAAAATAATATGTCTAACATGAATAAGGGAAGCCTAGTTCACTATCAATTTTAAGAGTTTTTTTTGTGAGCAATGTCGTTGAAACTGTCTCAGGATCATTTTGCTTTTTTTTCTTTTTTTACTCTTGGATTAAACTGCATAGATATTCAGAAATAAATTTGGTTGATGGCTACTTTAACATTGGAAACATTTACGACTGTTCATTATCAACTTGCAAATGAGTGAAAACAACAACAAAAACTTTACATCAACAATCCCACTTAGTGACAGCCAATTGGTCATTTTCTTTTTTAATTAAACATATCTTGTAATCTGTGTCTGTTCAGTGAATCCCAAAAATGAAAAAAATATTAACTTTGCAGGCCCTCTTTAATCGAGCCTGTTCATGGACAGCTTTGTGAAGTGCAATCTACTGTCCTACCCCTTAGCATTGGTTTGTCAGAACATACAGGAGCTGGCCAGGCACTTTGGTGTAGATATGGAGCAGTGCCGCAGCCACTGGCACCAGGTACGTGCCAGTTTAGAGGGGACTGATCAGTCAGCCGACCAGACCATGACCTGGATTACTGGCAACCTTTCTACCAGTCATCCAGCTCTTTACAGAATTGCTGCTGTGGGCCTCCCTCTCCCAACCTCTACTGCATGTAAGCATTATTAAATTCATTCATTCTTGAACATTAATGAAATTCCAATGACAGTTGCAGATGTGTAACACTTTGCTAGAAGTTTTTTTAACATTTCAAATTTTTACTTAGTTAAGTTTAAACAGGCTTGAAGTTTTAAATTTTCAAATATTCACATCAAACAAACAATATAAATAAAAGACATGAGGTTAACATAAATGATTACTTTCATTTATTCATTTCAGATTTTGAGCGAGGATTCAGCTGCCTGAAGAGAGTTAAGACTGAAAACAGGAATTGTCTCTCTGTTAAAGTTCTAAACTATCTTCTTGCCGTCTCCCTTTAAGGACCCCCATTAGAATCTTTCAACTTTGAGAAGGCAGTCAAGGCATGGAAGGACAACAAACCTAGAAGACAGGCCCACTTTTAATGATGTTAATGAAGAAAAAACAACTGAAATATACTCATTTAAATGGGACACACACATACATATAAATGTTGATCACATGTTGTGAACTTGTGTTTATATATAATTGTTTATTTATTTGAATTGTTGGAAATGGAAAAGGTAAATAATAAAAATTAAGAAAATGTTTATCAAGTGAAAAACTTTCATTATTTGTTTTAAAACAGCCCACAGCAGTATCTTGACACCTTAAATGGCAAAAATTTTCGACACGCGGTATGGGGGTCAAGACCCCCTCCCGCACCCACCCCCGTCTTATTAAAAAAATGTAGCGCTTAAAAAAAATCCTGGGGAAATCCCTGTGACCTAAATTGTGTTGGTGAGCCATAAAATCAAACAAAACATCAATCCATTTCTGGTCTGTCTGGATTCAGTAAATTTAATCTTTCAATTGAGCATAAATATGTATGCCTCCACTTGAATTCATAAATAATTACCAAATGATATTGTCATGTAATTTTATCTCAAGTGTAATTTCCTTTTTGCTCTACACTGTACAATCAGTGTTGTATATCATACAGTTGAGGATGGCAGTCCAACAAAATTGTTTGTTTTTGGTCTTGTTTAAGTACTTTTCTGTGTCAGTACTTTTCTGCTATGGAGTGTTCTTTTATTATTATGCAATAATATGATATATACATTGTACATGTATCTCTCACTGTTTAAGAAGAAATTTGAAAAGCTAACTGTGGTTATGTTTACTATAATGAAATATAGAAATGCTCACTTTGCAAGGGTATAATAATAGAGGCACATTATGATAGGAAATGTACAGTAGTACTAGGTTCATCTGTTGGAAATAATGGCAGAGTGAACCGTCATTGTATGTGTTGTTGGCATTACAACCAAAATGTGTAGCAGATTGAAATTGTCTCTAATATTATGAATCAAATATGTAATGGAAGCTACAAAATAAAAATGGAAAAAGGCAATGCCAAAAAAATGCTACCAAATTAGATTTTTTTTGTGTTACAATTGTGGTAAATGCATCCTTTTTGGCATCAGTATTAGCTTCTTTTATCAAAGGCTTTAGTTCAGAAACAGGTTTATGAATGAAATAGTTCAATGGAACATGTTTACTAGAAGTAACATATTTTAACATTGTGACCAGTGCAGACCAAGATCAGCTGACATGTCTGTGTAGATCATGGTCTGCACTGCATGTTTAGATTTCAATCGGTCAAGTTACATGTCTGGTTTTTTAGTCAGTCATGTATCTACAAAGTATTTTGAAATTTTCCCCAAAAGAGAACACTAGTCTTAAGAAGAAATGGAAGAGAAAAAAGGAAAATATTTGGAAAATACAAATGTTTGTATCTAGGCGGTTGCAGTTTTACTTTTACCCAATCTGGAATATTTTTATAAAAATGCCCCATGTAACTAAATTAACTACATTGTATTATGCCTCCTATGATGAATATTAGAAAAATCTAACTGCTATGTTTTAAATTGAAGATAAGTTTAAAGTTAAGGCATGCTAATAAGTAACATCTGACTTGTGATTTTTTTGGTATCTCTTTGATCAAACAAAAGTATGTGTTAATGAAATTTTTCAAAATAAATTTAGTAAGAAAAACTACTGTAGACATTCTGGAAAAGTGGAAAATCATCCATGTATTCATTAGCACATATCCTCCTTCTTTTTATTCTCTATAGTTAACATTGATTCCAATTAGCAAGTGTTGAGACTTCTACATACCAGTAGGTTGTTTTTTCTTGCCATGTTTTCTATGTGGTCAATATTCATGTGAAAAAAAAATGTTCAAGGACTTGGTTTGGAGGTGGTTGTTAATTTCAAGGAGTTGCGACTGGTTCAACAAGATCTCAGTGAATTTGAATTAATTTTTTTTCTCAAACATATTGGTTTTTAATGTTTTTTTTGTGACTTAACCCTTTACCTCATATGGACTTGTTTTGACGGCTTTGCGACCCCCCCCCCCCCCCCCCCCCCCCCCCCCCCCTTTTTGAGGCCTCAAACAGTGAAACAAGCCCTATTTAGGCCCCAAACACACTTTTTTGTTTGAGAAATGTTGATAAAAAAGTGACCATTTTTTCAGTGCCTCCCCCCATCAAAAAGGTACATTAGCTGATTAGGGAGTTGCCAGAAGGGGGATGTGCCCCCTTCTGTTTCGGGGGTTTGAAGGGGGGCGGCAGCCTCCCTCATCGCCAAGAAAATTTTGGACATGCGACAGGCTGAAAATGGCTGCAGGTCGATCATAAGGTAACGTGTAACCAATGCTGAAAAGCCTTTTCCTAACTCAATCCATTGAATAGTTGCAGCAGTTTGAAATCAGTTTTGATGAAAAAAAACAATGCACAAAATAGTGATTTTTGGCAATTTTGAGACGTCGCACTGTTGCCAATGTTACAGGAAATTTATGATTGAGCAGGCTGTTACTGAGGCTATGGTCCAGTCAACATTTGTGCCAAGTTTCATCAGTATTAAAGCATTTTTTATAGTTTCATAGCAGTTTGAACTTGTAACAGGAGACTTTTCAATGTAAACGGCCATTTTTCACAATATCCTCATGAAGGAATGGTTAAATAGTTTTTTTTTCCGTAAGATAAAGTGTCAACTTAGACAATATTTGGTCAAGAATAACCTTTACATGTACATGTATATGTAATTATTATTTTATTTTATTACTATTGTGTTGCTTTTTGTATGAGTATGGAGATGTGATCAAAGGTTTAAATATAAAAGGAATAGGTGTATCATATTATTTGAATTAACCATTAACTTGTTGAATTGGTGTAATGGACTAGCCCTACTTAAAATTTGGAACAATCTATTCAAAGTGTCAATGATTTCAATACTGAAAAAAGAAAAAAAAAGAAAGCTGTATGACCTACATGTAAATTGTGTTAGGATGCGTTAAAAAAAAACCACTGACATAAATTGTGTTGGTTCGCAGTAAAAAAAAACAAACAAAAATTAAACTAATAACAGTAAAGAGCCTGGTCAGACTGTATGGATGTTCTAGCTGGCCAAACTTAAATTAGCTTATATACCATGTATGTTGTTTTTGTGATAAAAGGTAGATAGGGTAAGGTATGAATTATGAGATTCTGTAGAAGGAGTGTTTAAGACGTCTGTTTTTGTAAAATTTATTTTAGTTTAACTTTAATTGTGTTTGAAGCTGTAAGCTATTCATAGAATTATCAATAGGAAAAGCTATTGTACTCACCCAGGCGTCGGTGTTGCACTCTCGTTTGGTTTTTTGCAAGCAAGTTGGTACATGTAACTCCAAAACTATTGAAGAGAATGGGTTGAAACTTTACATAATTATTTAATAGCATAATAGGCTATCTCTTTCCAAGGCTCATAACTCGACCTAGCTTACTAAGGGGTCACTGTATCAGGCCCATTACTCAACTATGGATTTAAACAAAATTATGGCACTTTTTGAACTAAGAAAATTCTACATTATCCAGACTCTTGTTTTACTATCAAGCACTGAGAATATTCCAGCATGCTGTCTTGACACCTATTGTATTTTTTACAGCATTACATGTTATTACATTACATTTTGTAACATAATGTTATATTATGTTTATTGCAGGCATTATGGGTAATTCGAAGTCGACTAAACTTCACCATGTTTCGTTGAACATGCCCCAAAAGGAGCGTGACCTTCACCTTGCTGTGATGGCCAACGATAGAGAAGGGGTTCGAGCTCTAATTAGTGCTGGTGCCAATTTTAACTACCCATGGAGCAATCCAGCTGTACCGAGTGTTAAAGACAGTACTACACCTCTGATTGCAGCCGTCTCTCTCAATCATGTAGAAATATCAATGGTAGGTACAGTTTTTACCTTGTGATTTTCTCAAATTTTGTGAAATGGACTTGTGTAAATGTATTTTCCATTATTGGAACTGTCCATTACCAACCTTAGGGAAGATAAAAATTTTGAAGTTGGTCAGCCAACAGTATAGAGTTTTGTCGAGACTGCACAGATGTGCAGAAAGGCCAGGTTCTTTCTAGGGAAAGATGCTTACTACATTTCAATCAAACAGGGTAAGGGTTATTGTAAGGATCTTCAAACATAAGATTCTAAAACTGAGCAATCAATGTTATAGTTAGGTCTGACTGTATCTATTTACAGCCTGGCATGGCTTTATACTAGTAGCATAGGTTTTTCTGTCAATAAAACTTGTTAATGATTTCAGATATTGCTAATGATTCCAGATATTGTTAATGATTCCAGATATTGTTTATGATTCCAGATATTGTAAATGATTTCAGATATGGTTTATGTTTTCAGATATAGTTAATGATTTCAGATATTGTTTATGATTTCAGATATTGTTTATGATTTCAGATATTGTTTATGATTTCAGATATTGTTTATGATTTCAGATATTGTTTATGATTTAATATATTGTTTATGATTTAATATATTGTTTATGATTTCAGATATATGGTTTATGATTTCAGATATTGTTTATGATTTCAGATATTGTTTATGATTTAATATATTGTTTATGATTTCAGATATTGTTTATGATTTCAGATATTACTTACGATTGTTTATGATTTCAAATATTGTTCAATGATTTTACATACTGTTAATGATTTCACAAACTGTTTATAATTTCAGATATTGTTGAAAGCTGGAGCTGATATTAACATGACTGATAGGAATGGTTGTACAGCATTGTATAAAGCTGCCTACCATGGTAGACCAGTTCTTGTTGATATTCTTACTCAAGCCGGTCAGTATAGTTATCATAATATACATTAAGGTATGATAAATACCCAAATCACCAAGTTATATGATAATATTTTGGTATTGTTTTTTTGGAAAAGATTTGTAGTACAAGTTATGTATATTTTCTTGGTAAATGTATTTGAATATTGAGTAACTAGGCTAGGTATAATATTTCTGTGACAGTTGATCTGATATATTGAGTGTAATGGTCATTTATCTCCCACCAATGATTCAGCATCATGTGGGATTAGTAGTCAGCATTTTGTAAGAAATTGGTCATTAATGGTGATTGTCCATGTAAGAATGGTGGTTATATGTACCGACCAATAGATTTGACCCCAAAAAGGTGTTGAAATTGGTGTAAAAAACACAGAATAACAAACAAACAAAATGAATGATTTTATCAAAAAAAAAATTCTTGATTAATGAGAAAATAAGTTACCAACAAGAAATTTGATTTATAATTACAGGTGCTGATTTGAACAAAGCAGACAAAGAAGGACAAACTCCGTTATATATCTGTGTTCAGAATGCTATTGTACACTCGAGCTATGCAACTGTAGAAATGTTACTGGCTGCTGGTGCCAGAGTTCATCAGTAAGACCTTGTTCATATAGATGCTTTTCACATAGCAATTCTTACCTCCCCTGGCTGCATTTTAAGGGTTATACTGGTTATTACCTCCCCTGGCTGCCATTTTAAGGGTCATTCCCAATATATTATATGCCGAAGAGAAGATAAAAATCTCTTATAATTCTATTATCATCATTAAAACTGATAAAAGTCTTTTTTATATTGCTGTTAAAATAATATTTTCCTTCATATGTAAGAATGAATGTGATAGTTCACCTAAGTCAGCTGTTTCTATTGATTTTTTCTTCTTCATATTTTGTCAATTATATGATATAGAATATTGACCCCAAAAAGTGGCTGCCACTTTTGGCAAGGGAGGTAAGTATTTAAAAAAAATCAGGAACTATCTATAGTGAAGTTGTTTCAATAAAATTTGATTTTATTATGTAAATTTACTTATAAATTTGCCTTCTGTTTGTCAGCATTTTTGGAGCTGGTTGGTATAAAATCACTTGCTTTGAAAAGTTTTTCCATATCAGTTCTGTGTGGTGTAGAATATTACTCGAGACTTTGAAATTATTATTATAACTCGTGCACCTGACTTACAAAATGTTTGGTGGTTCTACCAAGTTGCCAGTTCATGCTCTTAACAATATACAGAAATCTTATTTTGGTCATCATGAAAGCTGGATAATTATATGCCTTATTTTCTGTTTAACTAGGATAATTATATTCCTTTCAATATTATTTAACTAGGATATAGAATTTTATTTGAGCCGTGTCACGAGAAAACCAACGTAATGCGTTTGCAACCAGCATGGATCCAGACCAGCCTGCGCATCCCTGCAGTCTGATCAGGATCCATGCTGTTCGCTTACAAACACTATTACAAGTAGAGAAACTGATAGGGAACAGCATGGATCCTGATCAGACTGCGCGGATGCACAGGCTGGTCTGGTTCCATGCTGGTCACAAAAGCATTATGTTGGTTTTGTCATGAAACAGGTCTTTTTGTTGATTGATTATTCAGGAGTGACAGGAATGGAAAAGCACCAATACATGTAGCTGCTCACTGGAAAATAAAAGACATGTTACGTATATTAGCATCAGCTTCCACTGTTAACAGAATAGACAATTTAGGGAGAACACCTCTCTATGTGTGCGTCAGTTCTCTAAGTACAGGACTTTATAAGGAGGATTTGAAGTACCAAGTTCCGTGTATAAAAGTACTATTCCATGCTCAGTGTGACATGTTGAACTTAATCGATTGGTTAAAATGGAAGGGGCCGGGAATTCCACCGGAACTGCTCGCAAACGATGAAGCATTCTTTGAATGGTATACGAAAAGTTTCAGTTCGCCACATTCGTTGAAGAATTTGTGTAGAAAAGTGATCCAACAGAGACTTGTGGATAATTGGAAAGATGGTTTCTTGAAAAAAATAACGTATGTTCCGCTACCAGCCAAGTTACACGTTTACCTGTCACATAAAATGTTCCTTATACCTACACCTACTGTTCTTCATCATGAGATATAAATACACAGCATAGCACATTGTTACTAAAATTTTTATATATATATATTTTCTTGTTTTACAACACGTTTCATGTTTTGTTTTTGTGAAGTCTATTGAATTACTGTTGTTATTCTGTAGAAATTGATAAAGGAATCTCGGACAGCTTTTTTTTTTTTACCAAATCAGATGTATTTTTAATTGGTTTGTAAAACTCTAGCTTTTTTTTTATTGTAGATGATACGGTTTTAAACCTATTTGAAAAGATACATAGAAATATAGAAAATTGTTATTAGAAAAATTTAAAGAAAAAGATTTTTTTTTAAAAAATGTCTGTGATAATGGGTAAGATGGGTGATGTTATTTAGTCAGAAGAGATGTTAATATGAATTTATTTCGTATTTTGTGCCAAGTTCGGTGAAAAGATGCTAATGAGTGTAATATCAATTATTTTCTTATTCTAATATAGAACAGACACCTTCTTGTGTCTACTCATACTGGCAACATTTCCTGAAGATTTAATATTTTTAAGATTTTTTTTAAAGAAAATCAACCGCCTCCGTGGTCGAGGGGTTAGAGTCGATGACTTCTAATCCAGTTAACTCTCTGGCGTGGGTTCGATCCCCGGGAGATGCTTTGGTAGTTTAGCGCGGAGGAAGGTAGTCTAGTACTGGTGTAACTCTCCAGGAACGATGGTTAGGAAACTACCCGCCTATATGACTGTAATACTGTTAGAAAAAGGCGTAAAATGAAACAAACAAACAAAAAATTTAAAGAAAATCAAAAATGTTTATTAGTTTCGAAAGTACAGATTTTATTTTTAATCACACTATGTTGTGATATCTATGACTTGAACATGTGAAGAATAACCCATGCTTTTTAAATTGACACATTTTAGGATGGTTACCATAAGAAAATTGGGGAAAATGCAAGAAACCTGTCAAGAAATTCACATTTTTAGATGATAACAATACACTGATGTTTTTCATAAAAAACAAGCTGATAGGAAAAAATCTTTACAATTTTTGGGAATAATCAAAGATAAACTGGTTATTTTCAGCACTTTATTTAATGTCAACCTCTCTGCAACATAAACAACAAAAACACCTTTAATGGCATTCACTCAACAGGTATCTTTTGGCCTGACATGTGAACATTTTTATGTTCTCTGTTTCATTTATAGTTTAGATATTTGTTTGATAAATCTTTTGATATGTGTTGAGCTTTTACATGACAAGATACCAGTCTAAATTATATTCACAGCTTGTACATGACAAGATACCAGTCTAATATATATTCACAGCTTGTACAGTCAAAAGTACATTCACAACTTGTACATGACAAGATACCAGTCAAAAGTACATTCACAGCATGTTCATAAACAAGATACCAGTCTAAAGTACATTCACAGCATGTTCATGACAAGATACCAGTCTAGAGTACATTTACAACTTGTTCATGACAAGATACCAGTCTAAAGTACATTCACATCTTGTACATGACAAGATACCAGTCTAAAATACATTTACAACTTGTTCATGACAAGATACCAGTCTAAAGTACATTCACAGCTTGTACATGACAAGATACCAGTCTAAACTATATTCACAGCATGTTCATGACAAGATACCAGTCTAAAATATATTCACAGCTTGTTCAGTCTAAAATACATAAACAACATGTACGTGACACGATACTAGTCTAAAGTACATTCACATCATGTACATGACAAGATACCAGTCTGAAGTACATTCACAACTTGTACATGACAAGATACCAGTCTAAAGTACATTCACAACTTGTACATGACAAGATACCAGTCTAAAGTACATTCACAACTTGTACATGACAAGATACCAGTCTAAAGTACATTCACAGCTTGTACATGACAAGATACCAGTCTAAAATACATTTACAACTTGTTCATGACAAGATACCAGTCTAAAGTACATTCACAGCTTGTACATGACAAGATACCAGTCTAAAGTACATTTACAACATGTTCATGACAAGATACCAGTCTAAAGTACATTCACAACTTGTACATGACAAGATACCTGTCTAAAGTACATTCACAGTTTGTACATGACAAGATACCAGTCTAAAGTACATTCACAACTTGTACATGACAAGATACCAGTCTAAAGTACATTCACAACTTGTACATGACAAGATACCAGTCTAAAGTACATTCACAACTTGTACATGACAAGATACCAGTCTAAAGTACATTCACAACTTGTACATGACAAGATACCAGTCTAAAGTACATTCACAGCATGTACATGACAAGATACCAGTCTAAAGTACATTTACAGCATGTTCATGACAAGATACCAGTCTAAAGTACATTCACAGTTTGTACATGACAAGATACCAGTCTAAAGTACATTCACAGCATGTTCATGACAAGTTACCAGTCTAAAGTACATTCACAGTTTGTACGTGACAAGATACCAGTCTAAAGTACATTCACATCATGTACATGACAAGATACCAGTCTAAAGTACATTCACAACTTGTACATGACAAGATACCAGTCTAAAGTACATTTACATTATGTACATGACAAGATACCAGTCTAAAGTACATTCACATCATGTACGTGACAAGATACCAGTCTAAAGAACATTCACATCATGTACATGACAAGATACCAGTCTAAAGAACATTCACATCATGTACATGACAAGATACCAGTCTAAAGTACATTCACATCATGTACATGACAAGATACCAGTCTAAGTACATATAAAGTACATTCACAACTTGTACATGACAAGATACCAGTCTAAAGTACATTCACAACATGTTCATGACAAGATACCAGTCTAGAGTACATTTACAACTTGTTCATGACAAGATACCAGTCTAAAGTACATTCACAGCATGTTCATGACAAGTTACCAGTCTAAAGTACATTCACATCTTGTACATGACAAGATACCAGTCTAAAGTACATTCACAGCATGTTCATGACAAGTTACCAGTCTAAAATACATTCACATCTTGTACATGACAAGATACCAGTCTAAAGTACATTCACAACTTGTACATGACAAGATACCAGTCTGAAGTACATTCACAACTTGAACATGACAAGATACCAGTCTAAATTACATTCACAGCCTGTACACAGGTTAGTAAATACCGGGGTCTTGAACAAACTTTCAAATCCATTAGGTTTACCATTTCAGAGTTGGGTATTTTATAAAGACTGTGTGTACACAAGTCAGTCATTTAACTGTGCAACCAGTCAGTTTTAAACCCATTTACACCCAATATTTCAACCTTACGCGTTTTAAACCCAAAAACTTTCAACATTTTTATGAATTCTGGAGCACAAAGAGAAAAAAGGTTGTATTATAAGTGAGTTCATGCAACATTAGTATGACAAAAAAGAGATGCTTTTGAATGATTTTATGTGCCAAGAAATTCACTGTGTCAACATGTGTTTATGCCATCACTGAGGTTCATTTCTCATTGCTAACATTCCTGGCTAAATCTTCATAGGTTACAAAACAACATTATATGATTGATATAAAATATTGAAATTAATACTTAAGGCTTGTTAGAAATACTGAAATTGTAATTAAAACCTAATGTTTGTTAGAAATATTGAAATTATAATAAAAACTTAATTTTTGTTAGAAATTTTTTTCAGAATTGACTCAGATTGTAAGTAAACTTGTAACTGCTCTCTTACTAGTTGTTTCGAAATATGGAATATATATGTAACTGTCACTCCAGTAACAATAGGAGAGCTAATGACCCTGTCATATAGTTAAAGATTCATCTAAATTATCCATGCAGTCTGCACACTTGCCACTGAAGTTATCTATGTAACAGTACAAAATTTTTTCGTGACCTGGTACACTTGAATTAACAGTTAGAATAATTTCAATTGACCTTTGGGAAATTAGGCAATAATAAGAAATTCTGCCTTGATGTGAAACAAATTTAAGATATTTTAAAAGTTCATTTCTATAGTATATTATGATGTCATAAAGGCAAGTTTTCCTGAAACTGCCACATGATATATTCTCTTCAAACAATGGGAGACATAAACCTTTATTATAAATTGTATTTAATAAACAGGATTGTTTTAGAAAATATTTCATTTCCTAATGGAATATGTTTTTAAGAAATTGAAAATTTTTATAAGCAATTTTTTAAGATAAATTATAGAAATGTTTTAATTCCTATAGTTGAAGGTGTTGACTGCCAAAAAAAAAAATGAACGTGAATGTTTGTTTAAAATATCAGTGTACATTGTACTTTGTAAACAAATGTAATTATTTATGTAATTAAATTGAAAACATGCATTATATTTGTAAAAACCTGTGTAGTATGCACAACATTGTAAATGTAGACATAAATGTCACAATTTTTTTTTATTATGTAGACATAATATTATAATGAGGGCATGTCATCAGTGATTTAATGTAGACATAATGTTGATATTGCAATAGACATAATATGTCATTATTGTAATACAGTCATGTCAAAATAATGTTAATGTAGACATAATGTTGACATTGGAAATATAAATAATGTTTCAATTATGTCTTAAAATTGCATTAGACATAATTTTAATATTTTGATGTAGACATGCCTCAACATTGTTATTTAGACATAATGTTGCCCCAATGTTATGTAGAAATATGGTCTTTTTACCATAAAATCTGTAGTAATTACCCAAGAGCTAGCAGAGTAAGAAATTATTCTAGAAATGAATTCTCCCTTATCTATTAGTCTATCAAAAAATCTAACTCATCCCAAATAGTCAACTCTGGTGATGATTTATTTATTCACAATGAATTGCAATGGCAGAAGATTTTTCTTTTCTAACTGCTTCCTGAAAATTGAGATCTGGTGATCTAAATAAAATACGGTTTTGTGTTAGTTTAGAGAAAAATACTTGATCTTGAAACTTTGATTGCAAAAAAATTTGAAACTTAGTGTTGTTTTTATTTCCGTTTGGATATATTGATAAAATACAGTTTTATATTAGGGTTGTCATTTTATACAAAAATATCAGTGGTATTAATTAAGGGAGAGGTGCTTATTACAGATTTAATGGTTATCTAAAAAAAAGTCAGACATTTTGTCTCAAATGTTTATAATGTAAACACTATAATAATGCCATGTACACATGACATGTTTCTATATAGACACTTTAAGTTATACACTGACTGCTTAACTTGCTACCACTTTACTTGTTTAAGTGTATTGTTTCTCTTAAAGGTTTGCATTAATTTATGTAAGACCTTATTTTAATATTTTGTTTTAATATTTTTATTTCTGTATACATGTAAATCAAAATAAGTTTTGAAAAATCTGTATGTTTGATTAAGTCTCTACATGAGTGATATAATGGTGGTGCACAAAAACACAAAATGACATGTGCCCGATAAATTGTTCTGTAGTCTGTTTAGTACTCTATCATAACATTTGTTTTGGTTTTTTACAAAAAAATATTTAGACAAATTGAGTTATGTCTGTAACAATATACTATCGTTAAAATAATATGAGGTCATGATGTTAAAGTGACAATATGCCCTACCAAAGGTATATAATAAGTCAAAATAATTAACATATTGCCATAATTCCTTTCAATTTGCATGAACGATGAATAACTTACATGGCCCAACAAAATTTCTGAAATCTCCAAGATGCCTCCAGGACAGGCACCTTATTTCCGGGACAGTCTCGGATGTCCGGGATGTTATGGCATTATGTTTATATCCATCAGAATTTAACTGTAACATTCAATTTATAAAAAGAGTGGGGAAGTCTTTATATTTTAGTCAGATTTATACTTTATCCTCATCATTTTCCAGTATCAACTGTTGGACAACCACCATTATAACAGTCTATATTTTGAAATATATAGTCAATTTAGCTCAACTTGACAATAACTAAAATGAGCATAATGTCACTTTGATGTTATTTTGAGAATGTGAAAGCCTTAAATAAACTCCACTGAGGTAAAAAAGCGAGAAAGGATAAAAATCTGAAACTCTTGCATAGATCAAGTGAAGCACTACAACTGGAAAAATCTGCATAGAAAAATAAAGAAATGAGCCGCGTCACATCAAAACCAACATTGTGCATTTGTGACTAGCATGGATCCAGACCAGCCTGCTGTTCGCTTACAAACTCTATTACAAGTAGAGAAACTGATAGAGAACAGCATGGATCCTGATCAGACTGCGCGGATGTGCAGGCTGGTCTGGATCCATGCTGGTCGCAAACGCACTATGTTGGTTTTGTCATGACGTGGCTCATTAATATGTTCAGAATGTAATTGATAATTGATTTTTTTTGTGATTCTTAGCCCAATTTATAGCAATGTGGCAGATGAATAAAT